AGGTAATATAACTATCTATTGCATGAACACATTGTATATAATTAGGATAACTATTTCTAGCCTGTTCAACGTTATGGTGTATGCGAAATATCCATTTGTACCTATTTGTCACGACCTACAGGTTTATCAGCATATTCAGATTTTAAAAAATATTTTCTGTCACTGAAACTTTTCACAGCAATCACAGCTAAATCTACTGCATATTTAGCATTTTTAATTTTATCAATAGCATCTTCAATAAATTTGTCACTTATGTTAACTTGTCCTGGTATTTGTTGAGTATCACCTTCTGCCTGGTCTGCATCATTGAATATTTCCGGGACTGGCATCACAGCAGCTATTTCGGCTGGAAGTTTTTCAAGAATTTTTTGTTTTATTAGTTCTTTTTGCTATTTTTTCAGTTGCTTCAGCGGTTTTCTCTAACACAGGTTGAATACCTTTAGTGGTCTCAGTGATAGGTTTAAATAACTGTTTTGTATCCTCCTCAAATTCAAATCGAGATTCCTGACGCGATTGTAGTTGTTGCTTAACAGAATCACGAACAGGTAGATATTTTTTAATTGCATCGCATCTAGTCGCTCTCTAGCTAATTTAGCTGAGTGTGGTTCTCCAATATTCATTATTGAAAATATTTATACTGGCTGTTTAATTCATAGCAGCAGAGAGGCTGAAGGACATACTTGTAGTGACCACATCGTGAATAAATCGAGCAAAAAATCTGGTCAATTAAAGAAAGTTTTACTATTAAGGCAAAAATGTTTTTTCTCAGCCTTCGTAGGAACCCTTTATTTTCAAAAATAAGGTTTCAGGCAAATTTGTCTGTTCAGCCTCTCTGCTGCTCCCCATAAAACATAATGCCTTATTGTTGTAATCATACATTGAGACAGCTTTATCCACTACGAAAATCATTGTCACCTGGTTTACCCCATTAAGCATAATAGTTAACTTGCCTTAATGTTGAAACCGTTCTTTTGGATAGCACAATGGCCTAGTCTACCAACATAACGGATAATAAACTTGTATCAATAGTCTAACGATGACAAAAAAGTACCATCCTTTTATGCGTTGATGAATATGTTTTTCAAAACTATATCTATACTCTGTCACTGCGGCGTAAATGTTCTTCACAGACAGACAGAAAGACAGATAGATAGATAGATAGATAGATAGATAGATAGATAGATAGATAGATAGATAGATAGATAGATAGATAGATAGATAGATAGATAGATAGATAGATAGATAGATAGATAGATAGATAGATAGATAGATAGATAGATAGATAGATAGATATCAATAAAAAAACATGCAACTGCTTTTATGATCTTGACTGGTTGGCAAAACAACCAAATTTTTGTTTTCTCTGATCTGGACTGGTTGGCTAAAACAACCAAACTTTAGCTTCCACAAAACCAGTCGTACCCTCACTGTGAACAAGAACAGCCCCAGCTATATACCAACTGCGAACAAGAACACAGTCTGGAGGATATATGGCTTACAGTCACGGTGATAAATGCTTGACGATCAGGGTCAACCCATGGGCCTTTCATTGAGCACTGGCAGTGCAATACTGTTCTAACTCCAGCAAAGGATATCCAACATATGCATGTCGAGTTAATTATGTCAATTCTCCAATCATTGAAATATAGTATCAAGAATCGTATTTCCTACTCTGCCTACTATTATTTCTTTAAAAATTAAAATTTACTAAAATTATTCATACAATAGTAACCAGTCTGAAGTGAGACATATATCAATATAAAACTCAAAATGTTTCACATAATTAAAACACCCATTTTACGTTAAAGTACACATACGACTGCCGTGTAAACTTCGCTCAAATTTATATTAAATATCTTCTAATAAATGTCCAGATGATAAAGTTTTTATTCTGCCATGTAAAGCAAAAACATTGAATTTAAGACGTACATTTTTGTACAATTCAGCATATAAAGTACTCAAAAATTCTTCATATGTAAACTAAGACGAATAATGGTGACAGTTAATCGTTTGCATATGTTCGTTACTTGTTCTCTAGCTCAGATGCGTGTTGCTATTTACTTATCTTGCACACAAAATACATTTTGGGCTAATAACCTTAATGACCCTAAACATTTTTTCCAAAAAGCTATTGAAACTCTAAAACTAATCCATGCGAATTTAGTAATAAACTGCATTTGCCGTTCTTTATGTAAACCACTGCAAAGTTAAAATATATGCAAATTTTATTATTCGCTTTTAAACATAAGAGAATTCCAAAAATGGCAACTCTAATGAATAATGATGATAAACTTAATCATTTTTTTTTCGCTCACGTGCTTGTTATTTATTAATGTTATAAGAGTTGTGTAATGTGGCCTACATTAACTCAATAGACTATCACTCGTGTGTGTCGGAGCGAATTATACTCAAGTTCAAATCATACGATTTGGTCAGAAACTATATAACTTGAAGTAACAAGTGGTTTTTCCAGGCAACTTTTAGCAAATGTGTTATAATCTACAAATTGTTGTGTCTTTACATGCATTATATGTTTGGGAATAATATATATATATATATATATATATATATATATATATATATATATATATATATATATATATATATATATATATATATATATATATATATATATATACAATCAAAAGAGAATGCATTTATTTTGTATTCCAAAGCTAAACGCAAACAGTTTATCACTGAATTGTCCACTATTTCGCAAATATACTTACGGCAGATTGAATATTGAAAGCGATACTGTCTAAATTGTAATCATTAAGTCATACGAATGCTACAACACACTTAGCACAAAAGTTTGATTTAGGAGAGTTAGTCGCTAACTTCTAAGGTACATGTAGCTCAAGCAAAACGTGCCGTACAAATCGTATTTTAAAACGAAAGAATCGAGCAGACGCTTAGAATTTTTCGCGTTGCAAGCCTATATTAATCTTATCTTTCTTGAAATGCTACATCGGATGCATCGAATAGCAAAGGTTTTATACAAGCTTTCCACTTGAGCATTGACAACAGTCGTCAAATATTCAAGCTGTATTATGAAGCAAGTTTTTAAATCACTGCATACCACCCTTAGCTACATACGTACTTAATACTGACGTAGAGACATGCAGAAAATAGAAAATTATTAGACAGATGTTCGTATGAATAAACAGGTGAATGTTGATCTTTTAAAAAGATGATGGACAGAGATATTATACTTTGCAAAACAAATGGATGTACCGATATCCTTTTCTAACACCCCAACCCCCCAGTTCATTCTATGGCACGTAATTGTAGGAAATATGCGCAATTGACAGCAGCCTAACAAATGACACATGAAATAAACGTTATTTATTTGCATACTGATTTTTTTTTACAAGCCAATCAATGTCGTCTGCTTCCTCTAGATCATAAATATGGAGATATACCTCGTTTCTGTGAAACAAGGAATACGCAAGTTTATGGTGCGTGAAACAAGCAATAACAGTAACATATGTGTCATGAACTTGTGTGTTAAAATCATATACTTTAATTTTTAATTTTCCCCTGCCATTACAGTTTTCTTATGGTACAGACGTGTTAGCATTCAATTTGCAGCTGCTACAAAGAAAAAAACATTCTTTACTGTCCTTTAAGTTTCACTGTTTGAAGTTTCGGTTCACCGGTAATTAGCGTCTCAAAATATTATCTCACAGGCAATTCACTTTGTCAGTTGTCATTATTAATGCCACAAATGATATGCATTAACCAAAATTATTATGTTTTAGTTGATAGTATGTTACTTTTTATTTATCGATAAAATCTACTTTTTTAAAAAAAATCAAAATTATTTTGCAATAGTAATTCCATCACATCATGTAATACGATAATGCTAATAATTGAAATAAGGCAAACGATACAACCTGGGTTGAAAGGAAATGTAATTTTGTCTTTTGGTATTAACATCTTTTGTAGCATAATGCACTTTGTTATTTTACCTAAACTGTAAAATTATATAAATTCTTGCAGTGTTAAGGTTATATGCTTTAAATCAGAATTAATTTTCACCATACACTCATAAAGTCACATATAACATGATAAAAGAAGCCTCAACATGTCCCTACGACTAAAGTGTCAAAGCTAAAATGTTTTTCATTACATTTTAATATACGTATCTAGTTTTACATTTTGACTAATGCAGTTTTCATTATTTCATTACATTATTAATGGCATATCATATAGAATACGTCCGAGCGAATAATGAAAAAATATACAATAAGGAGGAGTCAACTTCTGAAGAAAAAAAAATCAATGTATATCCCCTTTCGCTAATAAAAGAGGGTTCTGTAGAATATTCTGACGCCAGAAACCATCGGCTAAAATTCCGTATTACCGGTGATCTTGCAAAGTATCCTAATATGTATAGGAGGAAATTTGGGAACATAAATGGCTGGCGCCAATACTTAGGAAGTACCAGACTTTGATTACTGCGAAAAACAATCATAGATCTTCAGTCTGTGAAACGTTTGCCAAATTTTGCTCCTTGAAATTCAAGACATGCTAATTATTCGAGTATAATAAAACACAAAGTAAACAATGCTATATGTTATGATGAACGAATAGCGAGAGCAATTCCGAGGCAAGATCTAATTATGCAGCTCTTTCTAAAGGAGTCAAATTCTGTCGCAAACACCAATAATTTGTCCAAATATTAATGTACTATAGTTTTGAAAACTAATATCCAATATACCCAGTGTTACAATACTAATTGGCATAAGCACAAACAAGATGTCCTTTATGTTTAATACGATATAAGATATAGCGCTCTACAATTAGTATGAGCTTCTGAAAAGTGCCAGTAAAGGTCAAATTGTTTGCATTGGCAGTGTATGTGTGTGTGTGTGTGTGTGTGTGTGTGTGTGTGTGTTTTACATTATCCTGACACATCAACGATACACTTGCCTCTTAATGCTATGCGCCTAGCGAGGTAGTTGTAAGTACCATTTACTGTATATATGTCTTTGTTA